CCATGCCAAAAACAAATTGTATGTTGCAACTTTCAAATAACAACAAGTGAAGGCAGTGTCATTCATGACCTATTTGATTGGATCAATTTTTACGACTTGGAGGCCATTTTTTTCCTCAAAAATCAAAAAAAAAAGAAGCTTTTTCTAGCTTTTTCTCAGATATGTGTCATCCAGTTTTGTTCAAAGTTGGTTCAGGGACAGGTAATAATTGTTTACAAGTGCACATCGCATTATATGTTTAACAAGTTATAAATTGTCTCAGAAAAGCCAAATGAATAAATTTTTACCCCACCCCCTAAAATTGTAACACATCAATTCTGAACATTTAATAACAGAATTTTAATACAGCTCATAATGAATTAATTCACTCTGACACAAACTAAGTTCAATATAAGTTTTTAAATTTTTTTCTAAGCGAGGGCTATGACATGACATGTCATGTCTTGTTATTTTTTTCTTGTGAGAAGCATTGACCATACACGTTTTATATAAAATATCAAGTTCATTGGTTGAAGCATTCGAGAGAAACAAATGCCCGAACTTTTAGTCAATTTTGTCAAAATTGCGGCCAAACAATGCGACAGATGACAATTATTTTCTTTTTTATTTAAGAAGCATTGTCCATACATGTTACATATCCAAGATGGCGGCAAAATTGGTATTTGGAGAAGGGCTAGCAAAAGTCCAAACTATATATGTTTGTATAACAGTACAACAGTAAATTTATTATGAAATAATGTATATACTGTAAAATGACTAATTTTCACTGGGTTTAAATTTCACTGATTTACCATTTCAGGCATATTTAGTGGGTTTTAAATTCACGGCTTCGTCATTTATATAATGTGTTCTATGCTAAATTTTACATATTCACTGTGTTTTAATTTAGCGCATTTCTCCAGTCAGCGTAATAAGCTAAATTAAAACCCAGTGAATAATTACCCCCTTTACAGTATTGTCCGTCATTGTTTTTTGAACACAACTATTCTATAAATACAATATTGTGATGGCATGTTGTTTGGGTTCAGTCACTACAATTATCAGTGGGTAATCTTTACTCACTGCTATGCATGTTGGAAAGTTCACCTTTCTCTCTGCAATGTATCCTAACAGTTCACCACTTACAGTGTATTTACATATTCTCTTATTATTAGGATCACATACATAGATATTGTTGTCTTTGTCAACATCTATCCCACATGGATAGTAAAATTGGTTAATTTCTGTCCCGTGTGTTCTAAATCTTGACACATAGTGGAGACTGGGATCCAAAATCTGAATACATCGGTCAACCATATCTGAAATGTATACTTGGTTGTTTTTGTTCATTACGATTGAGACAGCATGGTTGAATTGTCTTCTTTTGGATCCAGTATTTCCCATTACCATGACGTGTATGCCATCCACTGTGTACTTTCTAATACAGTGTCTGCCTTGCTGGGAATCAATAACCAGTACGCATCCATCATTGGTCAGTGTGATACTTTCAGGATTGATCCCTTCAATCTGACCAAAGGTTGTTATCAACTGATGTTCTGTACATACGACTATTTGTTTATTTCCACGGTCACTTATGAAATATCGACTATCTTCTGACACAGCTATGTCTACTGGTGTAAATGGCTTTGGAAATTGGTCAAATTTTAGAGAATTTAGACAATGACCTTTACGGTCAAGAATCTGAACTCTATGGTTGTATTTATCGGCAACCACTAACTGACCATTATTATTTATAGCAACTGCACTGGGTTTATTGAAATATGACAGGGCTGAGCCTTTTGACCCGAAGCGGTATCCTCTACCAACTGATGGTAAAACCATAATATCAAATGGTGCTCCTATAGCTTGATGGTTGCCATATGTTATCATTAAGGAATGATTCCCCTCTTGTTTGAATATCACTGTGCATTGAATCACTCCCCTTCCTTTACCACCCCTTGATAATAATGGTACGCTCTGATATTCTCCAACTGGAGTAATCACTGTCACCTGTATGTACTGTTGTTGCACAGACAGCCCCTCTTTGGTGGATCTGATTGTTAAATTGAGTTCTTTCCCCATATTTATTGATTTTTTCATCCCTTCCACTTCCACATTCTCTGTATCCTGTTGATAGACAAGTTCTTCATGAAGCATTTTTTCATTTGCAATTAAACAAAAGTTGCTATCCACATTTGGTATGTCTTCTATTTCTAATTTCAAGATGTGATTGACACGCTCTGTGACATTTCTTAGTGAAAATAAACATTCTGAAGGACTGGAAAATTTTATTACATTTTCTACAAATTCATGTGCACTCTCTAACATTGCTTTTGTCCATTCCAAGTTCTTTCTTTGTGATTCTAAATTTCTGTTTCTGCTGTTTAAGATCAGACTGAGTCGCTGTTTGGCTTCTAGCTGTTTTGTTACCACGTGATTCATGACTTTCTGTGCATGCTGATCAATTTCCTTTTCAGTTTTGTCATGCTTTTCTCTCAGTTTTCTTATTTCTTGATCAACATTATTCATTCCCATATAAACTGCTTGGATTTTGTTCTTCATTTCTGCTGCCAGAGGTTGCAGCCGTTGCTTGCCTTCCTTTGCCGCTTCCTCCAGGTATTGGTGTCTGTGTCGTGGAGGTGGATGTTCAACGAGTGCACATTTCGTACACATCGGTGTCTGGCACACTGTGCAGTAAACTTCTACTGGACTTTGTTCATGTTTAGTCACAATACACAATGGGTTGTGCTATATCCATATCAGTAGTTGTTGTCGGTATAATGCTTCAAATCTATGACCCTGTGACCTTTTGTGAATTTTAAATTTTTATGCGCCTTGGTACAGATTTTACACAAGTTCTGTGCACAGTCAGTGCATCTGGATACCGCGACGGCTTCTTGACAAGCTTCGCAAGATTTATCTTCTATTTCTAGAACATTTTTTGTTGCTATATACTCAGAAAGTCCTGTTAGTATAAAGTTTGTCTGCAAGGCACTTACGTCATTGTCTGGCATCTCTAGTCTGCATATTGGGCATGTCAGCTTTCCGGCGTTCTTCTTCACCCAAAGTTTCAAACAGTGTTCGCAAAAGCTGTGTTGACACGGCAGCACCTTGGGAGTCCTGAAAGGCTCTAAACAAAGACTGCATGTCAGCATTTCTTCTTTGATCCTCTCATTAGTGGTTGGGAAGTTAGATGCCATCATGGACTGTATTTAGTTTGTTGTAGCTGCCAAATATCATTGTAATGTTCTCCTGAAAATTTCAGATTCACAAATGGTAGCTGTTCGTATGTGACTGAGGTGTGGTTGTGACCCGCCTGACCTTCATACTGTGCCAACTCTGGCAAGACCCTGCTCTGACATGTGCCACTAGCGACCTGTTATACATTTACTTTGTTTTCAAGTGCTTCAGTTTATTATTCTTGTGTGTGAAGCATAAAAGAGAGTCTATCTATGTGTGCATGGCCAATGTTTGTTTTACTCGTATTTCAAAACTATTATGTTATTCAAATAAAATTTAGTACATAGATGTATATTGTTAGATTTATTAAAATGTTGGTTTCAATTCGTGTATGTTAAATAAGATAAATACAATGTATATCTATTCAAGTATAAAAAAAAATGGAATTACCAGCTTTCCCTTTGTTGTTGTCCTGCACATAGAATCTTGAACTGTTGGTTATAGAAGTATAAGATCTATTTTATACAAGAAAGACGTATTAATCCTTTATTTTCCAATTCCCTAATCAGCAAAAAGATGTGAAGCGTGGCAAAAATGCAAAAAGTACAAGCCTGTCTGAGATGAAGTGAGGAGGAT